GTTGCAACTTGCCCAAATGCCGTGTGCTTATCAAAGCGAAAGGAATGGAAAAGAGGAGCAGGTAACACCTAAATCATCTAAAAAATGGACAATTTCCATCAGTTTCAAACTTGCAAGTAAATATTTTCGTAAGCCGTTAAGAAAGAAAGGTCCCACAATCAACATTTTCTCTTACCTTACATTTGGCGCTCCCATGGAAGAAACTCTTCTTAGAGGGCATAACATGTGTACCCTTTGACTTGATTTTCACAATTTGCAACAATTTGACTGTGGGAGTGATATAATTTTTGTTTTTGCTTTTGGGATCTTTCCTTTAAACCTAACTAATCATCATCTATATGCAAATCGAATGCACTTTCCAGTAAATGGGGCTACATCAAAGCATTTATGGTCTTTGCTCTATTGTATGGAATGAGGGAAATATTTGTGTTGGGGGAGGGTTAAGTCAAACTACTTTGTACATGTGTTGGTTTGGGTTGGTTGCTTCTCTTTTGTTGACCCAAATAAACCATTTTGGTGGTCAAATCTACTTAACATCAAAGCACTCATGAGTTCCGACCTTTTTGGTGGTGAAATCAAACCACCAAAATGAAGAGAAACTTCAAAGCAATGAATGGGGGATATCCAACTAGTTTGGACCATGAAATCTCTTCCTTGTCTCATTAAATATGGATTACAAATTGTTTTGAAAAAATAAAAAAACAAAATAAGGGAAAGGAATTTTATAGTTAACTATCATTATGAATTGTAGATGTATGATTTTTAATTGAGAATTTAAATTTTATTTTTTAAATAAAAAATTATGTATGAACTATTGAATCAAATACCATGTAATGACTCAAATAATTAATTACAATCATAAAAATATACTAAAAAGAAGAAGGGGATAGAATGGTAAAACCAAAGGGTCATTGAATATCCCAATGGCAGACAAACGTATTACTTTCACAGCCCTCGGACCTCATTCAAATACACCCATCCCCTCTTTTCAAAAGCTCACACTTCTCTCTACTCTCTCCTCTCTTCTCGCTGCCCCTTCCTTTCCGGTTTCAACCCAGAAATGAAATGAACTAAAAAGGAACGGCTTCTTCTTCTGGAACCCATTTTAGGCCCTTTAGGGAGATTTTTCTTTTCACCTGTAGAAACCCAAAGGAGGCAGCAGCTGGCAGCAGCCCAACTTCAGCAATGGTAGCAGAAACTTGGATACTTAAAATGGGAAACCAGGTGAGTTCTAATCTTAAACACGCCCTTCTTCTCGAGCCTTCTTTCAAGAAAAAGAACACCCAAAACAACTCAACCCCAAAAATACATGAAACTGTTGGAATCCTGTCTTTCGAAGTTGCCAATGTCATGTCCAAAACCATCCATCTCCACAAATCCCTGTCCGAACCCGAGATCTCGAAGCTCAAATCCGAGATCTTAAAATCCGAAGGCATCTCCAACTTAATTTCTTCAGACGACAATTACCTTCTTACCCTTGCTTTAGCTGAAAAGCTCGATGAATTAAACAAGGTCGCCAGTGTTGTCTCTAGACTAGGCAAGAAATGCAATGAACCAGCTTTACAAGGATTTGAACATGTTTATGGAGATATTTTGAATGGGGATATTGATGTTAGAGAATTAGGATTTCTAGTTAAAGATATGGAAGGAATGGTTAGGAAAATGGAGAGGTATGTTAATTCGACTGCGAATTTGTATAATGAAATGGAGGTTTTGAATGAATTAGAACAAGCTACTAAGAAGTTTCAAGCAAACCAACATGAGGAAAGTAAGAGAGCTTTTGAGCAAAAATTGATTTGGCAGAAGCAAGATGTTAGGCATCTTAAGGATGTTTCACTTTGGAACCAAACGTTTGATAAGGTTGTTGAGTTGTTGGCAAGGACTGTTTGCACTCTTTTTGCTAGGATTCTTGTTGTTTTTGGGGAGTCTGCTGTGAGAAAGGATAGAGAATGTGGGCAGGGTTCAGGGAAGATTTGTGGGGGTTTTTGTGATCGAGAGGAAGTTGTTTCAAGGCAGCTGAAACGGGCTCTCAGTAAGAGTAGTAGTGTTAGGGGTGGTCAGCCTGCAAATTCAGAGAGAGGTGTGGTGGAGAAAAGGGGAATGAGTTTGAAGCATCGGGGGTTTGATTCTCGGAAGGGTGAAGTTGGGTTGTTTCGGGTAGACGATTTTGGTTTTACGTGTGGGACTAGTCCTGGGAGGCTTTTCACAGATTGCCTTAGTTTGAGTAGTTCAGGTTCAAGGTTCGATGATGATGATGGTGATGGGAGTGTTGATCATGATGACCGGAGCAGCCAGATTTCAGGTTGTTGTAGTGTTGTAAATGATGGGGTGAAGAAAGAGCGGCCAAATCGGTCTCCTTTTTGTCAGCCACAATTTACTGTTCCTTTGAATGGAGATCAGAGACAATCCAAGTGTGGTGTGTTGAATAATGCACAATTTGGTCCTAAAAGTAGGTTAGCAGTATATGCTACACCCTGCACTGTGGGAGGCTCTGCTCTTGCCTTGCATTATGCTAATGTAATTATTGTCATTGAGAAGTTACTGCGCTACCCTCATTTGGTTGGTGAGGAAGCTAGGGATGATTTGTATCAGATGTTACCAACAAGTTTGAGACTGTCTCTGAGGACTAATCTCAAGTCCTATGTCAAGAATTTGGCGATATATGATGCTCCATTGGCTCACGATTGGAAAGAAACTCTGGATGGGATACTAAGGTGGCTTGCTCCATTGGCACACAACATGATCCGATGGCAAAGTGAGCGGAATTTTGAGCAGCAGCAAATTGTTACTCGGACGAATGTTCTTCTTCTCCAGACGTTGTATTTGGCTGATAGGGAAAAGACTGAAGCAGCTATCTGTGAGCTTCTTGTTGGGTTGAATTATATATGTCGTTATGAGCATCAGCAAAATGCATTATTGGATTGTGCAAGCAGTTTTGATTTTGAGGACTGTATGGAGTGGCAATTGCAATATGGAGCTTCTTATCTTAATTGATTACATTGCTGAAATTTTATGAATACCTGTAGAGGTTTGTAAAGCATTTTTCTTGATCCTCATAGTCATGTTAAGACACAGATAAAGGTTCAACAAGATGTTGATATCTGAATTGCGCGTGAAAAGGCATTCATTAATCAAGGTTTGAAGTTGGTTAACGTATTTAGTTGTGAAGGCTTGAGAAGTCTTTACTTCCGAAGTATATAATTCCAATTAATTTACAAAAAGAAGTATTTTCCTTCTCTAAAGATTGAGTATATGTTTCTCTGTACAGTCTTTACTATTTCCTTAGGCTACGTTTGTCTCTGCAGATCATAGTTTAATGGAATCAATTTGAGTAGTTGACAATGTATTGGCTCATATCTCTTTTCAGTATACTTGTTACTCATTTTTGCACTCCCGTAGTCAGTACTGATGGTTTACTACTGATGTTTTCGTCTATATAGACATTTCCTCATATTACTAGTTGTCAGAATATTAGATTCACACTAGATTTTATATTACTCGAGGGCGTGAAACGCTTTAGATCAAGTCCATAGTGGTGTTTCTGAAAAGAAGCATCATATGAGCATGCTGTCCCTTAAAGTAAGGGTGGAACATGAAAGTAGCTGATGATGTGTTCAGTGTCCTAAGCATGCAAAAAGAATAACATCATTGGTTTTAACTTTTAAGCACTCCTGAATTTTGTATTGACTACGCTGTACCTGAGCCTTAATGTCATGAAGGCTAAGCAATGCATATTAACTGAATATAAAAGGCTGGCATTTCCCATTTTATGTGTCATCCTTTTTATTCCCTTGGATGAGGACATCCGCTTATTAGTTATCCGGCGTGCGGGCCTTCTTTTAAGCACTCATTCCACCTTTGTTGTTCCCTATGAGTTCACAAGATCTAATTATCATTTTTTGTTTCTAAATAGAGAAAAAATATTAGATGCGTCTCACTCTTACTGAGCTGAATTTGCTTTGTGAAACTAGGATTACTCAAGGCTTGAAAACTAACATGGTTAGCCAGGCTGATCGATTCCGATGTACTCAATTGATTTCCTCTATTGTTATGCCTCTTATGCTTGCAAATCGGAGTTCATACCATGAAGAAAAGAAAGAAAGATGGGGTGAAATGAAGAGTTTTCAAGGAGAGGGGGAAGAAATTGAGAGAGGGTTGTAAGATGGGTGAAGAGGCTTGAAAAAGAAGACAGGGTTGACGGTGGGTTGTGGAATTTTGGCCGAGCAGAGGACATGTCCAAATATAGGAAAAAGAGATAAATCGATTTCACTTTCACCAGCTTTAGTGCAGAAAGCAAGTAACATGCTTAGCCATGCTGATACTATGTATGACCATCTGATATTTTATATTTTACCAACCTACTCTGGGGCCTGGGCAACTTAGGGGAAGAGAGCCATTCATGATTGTATTCAAACTGTGGTCCTAACCTCCTAGCATGTGTGCCCCAAGCAAATCTTCCGCCATTAAATCATATTCAAATTGGGTTTAGTTTAGTTTCTCATTTTCTCATCAACACATCATCCAAATTTTCTTTCTTTTTCTTCATTCAGCTCTCAGCAGACAAATAATGGTCGATAACATGCCATTTCTTGTTGAACAATATATACATATATATATGCAGCTGATTCATTTGGGATCGTGACAAGCAAGGATCATGTCAGGCTTTAAAAAGAAAATGAATGAATGGTGACCGGCAGCAGCAGCCACAAAACGCCAGCGAAGCAGGTGCCACCATGTGGCAAATGAACATTGAATAGGTGGGTAGTGGATGGCATGGACTGCTCCTTTTTGTACCTTCCTCGTTGGATCTCATTAACTATCAAAGCAACTGAAGTGAAGCCAACTATTATTTTTTCTTAATCCGCTAATTGCTCTAAGATCTCATCTTATATATAAAATGAAGCATGGGCTTGGGTTCGCTACTCTTACAGTTTGGGCCTCGAAGGAGGCCCAACAATCCCAAACTGTAGATCACATTAAATAAAAAAAAGAAAAGAAAAAGAAAGAAAAAGGGTAAAAGCAAAGGAAATAGGATTCGCCACCTCGCTTAACAAATTTCGACAGCCATTTTTCTCCCTTAGCGAGAGTCTCGAAATTTATCAAAAGGAGTATCGGAGAAAGGAAGTGGAGCTTGAAGCAATGAGTTATAGAAGGTTAGTTTTTTTTAGTTTTTTTTTTTTTGGGGGGGGGGGTTGTTATCTCTAGCTTTTACTTTAGATTTAAGCATCAATATGATTTCACAAAATTCAATTATTTGGATAAATTTTTCTAGGGTGTTTTCCCTCACATTTTGTTGGAATTTGCAGTTTCCAATTACTTGGAGTGTTTTAAATGTTAAATTGATGAATTACTCAAAAATGTTGTAACTTGGGAAATTAGTGACAGAAATGAGTTTTTTTTTTTTTGTTTTCGAATTGTTTTTGATTTGTTGCTTTCTTTTTAGGTGTTAGGTTTTTTTGACATATAGTTTAATTAGAAATGAAATGATTTAGTTGATTCGTCTGTATTCCTGCGTATGATAAGAATTGTGATCATAGGATGATTCTCTGCGCGAATTGTTCATCTTTCTGGTATTGTTCTTCATCTGCATTGTCTTTGGTTATTTCTAGTGTTCGCTACATTAATGTCTCACTTGCTGTAAAATTCATGGTTGATTTGCCCTCAGTAGCTGACTATTTTGATATCTCCCTTCAGAAATTCCTCCCAATCAATCTTTCCTGCATGAAAAGTTCGTTTTAGAAATGTTGGGTTTGTTAGGTATGATCCTTTTATCATTGTATTTATTCGTATTTTCTAAATGGCAGCATGATCACTTGTTGTGTAGGGATCACCGTTCGTCAAAATCAGCTCTATCCGATGGCTTTGATAAGCTGGAAGAAGGTGGTCTCAGGTCCTCTTCATCTTTCTCACACGAAATTAAGGATCATGACAATGACAAAGCTATAGACAGCTTGCAGGACAGAGTTGCTTTTCTGAAAAGAGTAAGTTCTGCCAAAGAAGATTTACCCTGCAGTTTTATTCATTATTTGGAACTCTTAAAATGTTAAATATCTATCTAAACCTTTGCATATTTTTCAAATCTAGGTGAACTTAGCATGGTCTTCTGGACATATGTTAGATGCTTGGGTTTTTGTGGGGTTGGCATTTAGGATGTGTGAGACTGGAGTTCCTTTATACTGCATGCATCATAAGCTAACTTCGCACCCAGAAAAACGATAAAAATCAAAATCAATCCTAAGCTAGCTTCAAAATAGTGCTTCTTTTAGTCACCTTTCGTGAAAAAGCTCAAGCAGATCTTTCAGAAAGTTTTTAGTATACATTGGCTGCTAAATCTGGGGCTACTATATTCTTTTCTCCAGGCCACCGTGATAAAATCCCAAGCACCAGTGAAATAATGGTATAAGTGCTTTTTTTCTTTTTTTGAAGGGCAGACTAAAGTTCAATTCATTAAAGATTTACACAAGACTACCACATAAGGTAGTGAGGCAGCTCCTTACTAACAAAAATCCAGTAGGCTGCAGAAAAAGAAAGGGTCAGCTGGCAAGCCACTGGTTGCCTGTGAGATCAAACCCAGTCTGGAGTAATCCCATAGCAACCAATGAAGAGCCTCCAGCAACATAATCCCCACCACAATATACATTTAGGGACCTCAAGAATGACCACAACTTAGACAAACAATGGTAGAAGTTCCACAAACATAAAAAACAAGAACCGAAAATGCAACCTGGGAAATTGATTTGGAGGAGCTTAGTCTGTATCAATTGCCAACCCATGTTCTATATCATCACTGGTCTCCAGCAGATCAGGGGCCCTTCGAATTGTCCCCTTAGCCAAATTGTCAGCCTCTCTATTTCCTTCCCTTAGCATATGACAGATTTCCCAATCACCAACCATCTTCTTCAAGCTCTCAATGTGTAAGATCCATTTTCTAAGTCTCCACAGGGCATCATTTGGACTTTTGATCCATTTCATGGCATTAAGAGAATCACTCTCAATGACAAGTGAGAAATTTCCAACCCAAACCAAGGAGGCAAAGATAATGAAACCTTCATGAATTGCAAGAACTTCTTCAAGACTTGAGTCCCTAATGCCATTATTGTTTGAGAATCTGGCCAGCACCACTCCATTTTCACTTCTTAGGATGTCTCCAATACCTGCATCCCCTGGGCTGCCATCGGCCGCCCCATCAACATTGAATTTAAGAGCCCTCTCAACTGGTCTATTTCAATTAATGGCAACTCTCTTCTTGGGTCCATTGGTCTAGGTAGTAGGAGAACTTGGGTGTCTGTACACATCTAAAATTGAGCCATGCTGAGAGGGCCAATTGGCATTTGCCCATGTTGCCGTTCGCAAGTGAATGAGGTCCCATACCTGCTTGCTGTCCCAGCTTGCATTCTGAAAGACAACATCATTTCGAAAAAGCCATATGGTCCTGGAGATGGCAAAGGGGCTCAACGCCCAAATTCTTTTATCTCCATTTTTGGCGCATGAAGAATTCCATATCACCACCAGTTCTTTTATCCCTCTAGGCATGACCCAAGTAAGTCCCCAACATCTACACCATGAGTACCAAAAGGTCCAAACTTATACTGGTATAAGTGCTTGAGGGCGACATTGACGTGTTGAATTTGAAGCACATCTAGTGAGGCCCTCAATGTCAATATGCATTGGTTATTTTACCTCTTTGCCATTTATACCAGTTATATCATTCCATATCCCAGCATAGAGAGTCTTCTGTTTGTCATGTATTTCTGGACTCATGTGAGTGCGCAGGTAGTCTTGTGCATGTTTTCTTACAAAATAGAATTGTTTCTGCTGTAGGGAATTGTACTAGTTTTTCTTCGCCAAAAACTAGGCCAATGGAGAAAAATGGCCTGAAATTTTATGGTTTATACTCTTTTGCCAAATTTTGATATTTATAAACTCTTTACAGTTGACAGGTGATATACATGACGAGGTGGAGAGCCATAATCGTTTGCTCGACCGAATGGTATGTAGGTTACACTCATTAAGCCTCAAATTTCAACTCTAGTGAAAACAACTGGTTCTTGTTTTTAATGGATTTTGTTCTAAATCAGGGCAACGGCATGGATGCTACAAGGGGTGTAATGTCAGGCACTATGGATCGGTTCAAGAAGGTATCTAAAGAGATCTGCTCTACTATTTTGGCTACATGTTTATTTAAATTTAACTTTTGCTCCTTATAAAAAAATGGTTCAATATGATGAGATTGCTGTTCTCTAGGTGTTTGAGAAGAAGTCCAACCGGAGAATGTGTACACTGGTGGGGGGCTTTGTGGTTTCCTTCTTAATTGTATACTATCTAATTAGGTAAATGGCATAATTAGTTCATTACTGTCGATTATAATTCCTCATGCTATGTGCTTTAACATAGGTGCTTTTGACTTCTCAAGATTTAATTATATCTGCTCTTAAGATGTTTATGTTGAGGAAGATATAAGGTACTAAAGTTGTTTGCATGATTAGTTGAACCTACTTGTCTCTAATTATAGTTAGTAATAAAATTCATGAGTTTGACTATTTTTATTTTTCAAGTGGTTAAAGGCACCCTTTGAATGTTGTAAGCTCTGAACGGTTTTCACCTGAAATGATATCCTTCACTTGACAAACATTTCATAACATCCTTTCCTTGCCTTATTTATTATGACCAGAATATTTACCAAAACAAGAGTCATCAATTGTGCACAAAATCACTCACCAAACTAGTTTTTCTTCTTGATTTGGACTTGATTGTAGGTCCCTCTTTTTGAAAGCCCTAACTGAAGGGACCTTAAGACCATTGAGGGCGTAACCACATTCTTTTCGGATAATTCCAGAAGTGTCATGCTAAATACAGGCTAGGGGAAAGAGGACCCTTCATAAAATTCTGTACTTGGTATTCAGCATGTTCATACAATTTGCATCATTGATGTGTTCATACGATTTGCAACATTGATGTGTTCATACGATAAATGAGGAATAAAAACAAACAAGACATGACATAATTGAGCATTTTTCTAATGAATCTGTGCTGTTGCTGAACTTGTTTGCAGGATGCTTAGATATGTTCGTGGTTGAAGAAACCACAATTTCATGAAGTTGGTCCATCGACAGATTTGAATGTCAAGTCGAGGTATGAAAGTCCTGTTTTTTTAATCTTGAGAATCTGGTACTGCCTGCCATTTGCTGACATGGTTGCTCATCATAAGAAGAAATTCCAGACGGCAGTTCGACCAATTGAAGACGGGCCACATTTTGAATGTTGTAATGTTGGTTTCAGCATATAATTGTTTGACCAAAGAGGCCAAAAAAAAAAAAAAGAGGTGAAAGGAACGGAGAAAAAACAAAGAAAGGATTGGAATCTAGAAATAGTGAATTGTAGTAACTTGTAAGAACATGCTGATGATGTTACATCGACCCATTTGTCGAGATGGTTTCTTGCAAATTGCATGAAAAATTTTCCTTCTACATTCTACTTGTTCAACCAGTTCTTGTTGACAATAACACATCGAAGCCTGTTTGCTGACGATTTCTTGCAGAATAATGAATGCAGTTGTATACACTTTTATTTTGAATGGGAGATTTTATTCCATATCCCTCCCTTCTTAAGGATTTTTCTTTTTCGTGTGAATCTACATCTACTTATTTTCCTTAATCAATTTCTTTCCTTTAACCCACTTTCCTTCTCCCCAAACACTAAACACAATGTTAAAAATGGTACTGAGGTGCCACGGGCTAATCCAATGTGGTCCCAAAAAGAATTTTAATGCCTAACTAGTGAGGATAGCCAACTTTATGTATTTGATTAAGATTTATATGCGTTGGTTACTCCAATACAAATTCTTAACATCACATCAGTACAGATCTACGAATTTTGATTGATGAAAACAAATTAAACTTAAAAAGAGTTAGATTCTAAAATGTCAAATCATTTTATAACAGAGAAATATTTCATATTATGATTCACCCGCCGCCTGAAAAATCAAAGAAAAATTCGATTCTAAACGTTGAGTTTCTGAATAGAAAATCATAATCATGAACATAGAGCTTGAACACAATGATTCTGGTCATAATTTCTTCAAACAACAAAGGCTTCAATGGAAGACAATGTTCATGTCATAGATTTTATTATATATATATATATATATATTAATGGCAAAGATGGATGTTGCAGTTAGTCCAATCAAAGTCACTCTAAGTTCTTGTAAGAAGGCAAAGCCACACCTTGGATGCTCCACAATGGTTTTTGATGTTGACTCTCCCATATTTGTTGCACTTTATTGGATTTCCCTTGTCATCAAAACCAACATTTGCTATGGAGAAATCTCTTTTATGATCTCATATCATTCTAGCCTTGACTGCATAGCTTCCATTAATTGGTCTATAAATCTTTAAAAAGTCGTAGTTTAATTAGTTTTATTATATATGTATCTATGTTCTTTACTTTCCATTTTCGATTTTTATAATGGGGACTTCACATTTTTTTCTTCTTACATCTTGATTGCGGATAATGGGTTTTTTTTTTTCTGAAGACAGCCTGATTTTGGCAACAATAATTAATTTTCTGCCAAATTCAGTTCTAATTAAGTGTTGTCATTGTACTCTCCAAAGATATATGCTTACAGTTTCAAAAATTTTGGTTCGATCAATGAGTCCAGAATTAATTAAGACAATTTAATTACAGACTAACTTAAATTAAACAAAAATAATAATTTGATTTCGATGAATTGCTCATTGCTGGACTGGGATCTTCCATTGTTGGGAGCATAGCATATAGACTTTGTGTCAACGAGAAGGAATCTAGCTTCACTAATGGCTTACAACCCTACACCGTTAGCTAGGCTCAAGTTCGAGCTAGTCCTACCATAGTTCAGTGGACTGTGGGTATTTTTTTTTTTTTCTTTCGGGGCAGTGTGCTAGCTGATTTGATTTATTTGGTTCGTTTTTCTCTTAAATTAACATATCAAATTCGTAAAATTCTATTTATAATTTTTACGTATTATCATTCGACATATATCTTTTCACTCTAATCATTTTAAAGTAAATAAAAAATTTTAAATCATGAAAAATTGTTATGCATGTGTATATTAATAAAACACTCAATTGATCTTAAAATTTCTTGATTAATTATTCTATAAACCTATAAATATAATATATGTTGTCTAAATACATTTTTCACCCATTTTTCATATAAATTAATTCAGAAAAAGAATCGGTAAAGCAAAAGCCTTGAGACTATTGGTTCTAATAAAATCAAGGTCTTATTCGATATCAAATCAACCAAGTTTGGTCATTGTTCTAAGGAGGATTAATGGAACGATGCAATGAGGAAAGGTCTATTATTGGATTTATGGATTTTCTTTTTCTTTTTCTTTTTTTTTTCTTTTTTAAGGTGATGGAATGACGACAATGAAAGAAGTCAAAGACTAAATTCTATAAAAAAAGACAAAATTGTGTATATATTATATAATGTGTGTGTGTGTGTGGGATTGGTTAGAGGATTAAAGTAGACAAAATGTTGTCAAATTAGCTAATGGGGGAACTTGGATCAAGTTGCATTTTAGTTGTTGAGAGGTGCAAAATCACGTACAGCCTTCACCAATATTGCATTACGACATATCATAGGGAGGGTATGCAAGTTTTCAGTGATCTCTTTTCACTTCCAAATTAATTTCCGCTGCTTACTCCGTGAAGCCACGAATAACAGATTGAAAAGAGCATTCCTTAACTTTTATATTGGAATTCAGGATAATATTGAATAATTGATCAAAACTGTATATACAATTCATGAAAAGGTAATGTGACTTTGATTTTCGGATAAATTAAATCACGTAGAGGATGGCAACATGCCTTGTGTTATAAATGAGGATCATTGATAACTAAAGCAATTAATTAAGGGCCTTAGATCATGTCAACATTAAATTAGACTAATTACTTTAGTTGCATCAAATTAAATCTTCTATATGCTGTCTCTTACTATTCATGGTGCCATTGTAGCTACCTCCTACCTCTAAATTAGAATGATGAGAAGCCAAAAAAATTAAACATGAAAATGGCAGTGGCACCGGTGCTAGCATGCCTCCCATATATCAGACAACCATGTCATTTATATGTACCGTTTCTTGCTGTATCATCTCAAAGGAAAATGCAGCCCATAGCCAATAATAAACATTGATAATAATACCATTAAACACTTGCAACTTGCATATCAAAAAAAAGGGTAAGTAGCCAAATTCTTTATTCTACTTAATGGCTATTAGTCTGTATGGTTTAGAGGAAAACGACTTAAGGCCTAACCCAAAACAAAAAAAAAAAAAAGGAAACCGTAGAAATCATAGACTAAAGATTATGTGCGAACTAGAAAGAAAGAAAGGGCATGGAAAGGTTGTGAGCAACCACTGGGAGTTTTACTAGGATCTCTCTCAAGCTTGTAGTTGTTTCCTCTTTACTGGCTTTTCTCATATATGGATATATATATATACACACTAGTGTACTACTACCTCAGATATGTTGGGCCACGAGAAAACGACGTGCTTCCCACCTGCCCACGCGCACGCGACCCCACGGAAACCCTAGTTTCCAAGGCCCTCTAATAGGATAGCTCATTTTAATTACCCAAAAAAAGAAAAAGGAAAATGATAAGGGAAATTGGTGGTGATAATAATATTGACGATAGTGCATATATTAATAATACTAACATACGCACGCACCCGGTAGCTCCCCAAATCAAAACACAACACAGTTTCAACCTAGAAAGAAAGAAAAGAACATCTGATCCAGTCTTGTTTTATGTTTTCTTCTTTTAAATACTGCAAAATTTATCTCTCAGTGCTTTAGTTTATTCTTTATCTTTCCTTTCTTCCTCTCTCTCTCTCTCTCTGTGTTTGATGCTATCAGGGGTTCTTTGTTTGATCAAATATTTCTGGTCGTTGATCTATAGTTGATTCATCTTCACCAGGGAGATTGTTGGTTCTCTTTTATTTTTCTTCTCTCTCTACTTGATTCTGCGTTTGGGAATTGCATCTAATTCTCTCTTCCTACAACCTTCTGATCCCTTGTCTTATCACCTACTCATCTAATTCTCTCTTTCTCATCAAAATTTGTGAAAAGTGTCATGGCATGTAACGAGTAGAAAAAGAACCCTGTTGAGGCAGCTAGCAAACCCTTTCTCCTTGCTGACTTCTTCTTTAACTTAACTCTCTCTGATCTCAAACCCTTCAATTAACTTGTTAGAAGAAAGTGAAAAAGGTTCACCAATTCTGGTCTTTTTGTTCTTCTCTTTAGTTACTAATTGTGTGTTGAATTCAATTTGGAACCCTGGCGAATCCTTGGTGGGCTAATCAGGTGAGTCTTCCGGGCATGGACCCGGCAGGCAATTCACCAGCCTTAAGCAAACGTGACCTTGAAATTTCCATGAACGACACGAGCAAAAGTAGAAGCAACGGCAGAGGGGATGAAGATGAAGATAGAGACACCGGCGATGAGCCTAAAGAAGGGGCAGTCGAGGTTGGTACCGCGAGACCCAGAGGCCGTCCTCCAGGCTCCAAAAACAAGCCTAAGCCACCCATTTTCGTCACTCGGGACAGCCCAAACGCCCTCCGTAGCCATGTCATGGAAGTTGCAAGCGGCACTGATGTAGCGGAAAGCATAGCCCAATTCGCTCGAAGAAGACAACGTGGGGTTTGTGTGCTCAGTGGCAGTGGCTCCGTGGCAAACGTTACACTAAGACAACCAGCAGCACCAGGAGCTGTGGTTGCTCTCCATGGAAGGTTCGAAATCTTGTCTTTGACGGGGGCTTTTCTGCCTGGACCAGCACCACCAGGCTCAACAGGGCTCACGGTGTACCTAGCAGGTGGTCAAGGCCAAGTCGTTGGCGGAAGCGTTGTGGGTTCACTGATTGCAGCAGGGCCTGTTATGGTCATTGCAGCAACATTTGCAAACGCAACTTATGAAAGACTGCCTATAGAAGATGATGAAGAAGCTGGCAGTGGTGGCCATGGAGGACAGATCCAAGGAGGAGCAGGTAATTCTCCACCGGCAATTGGAAGTAGCGGCCCACAGACAGGTCTGCCCGATCCATCTTCACTGCCAATATACAATTTGCCCCCTAATCTACTCGCCAATGGAGGGCAACTAGGGCATGAAGCCTATGCTTGGGCGCATGGGCGGCCGCCTTACTAATAATTATTGGAGCTGCAGCTTCGTATAAGAGAGTGAGACTTAATTTTCTTAGATCTTACAAAAATGTTGTGTTTGTATCTAGAGATAGAGACTGGAAGAAAACAGCAAAAAGAGGGAATTGTGAACAAGAGAAAAACCTTGGGTGATCTCATTGTATATTAAACTCTCTCTTTCCCTTTGCTTCTTTTCTGTTTGCAATAAAAGATGATGATTTAGACTACTCTTTTAAATTGTTCTCCATATCCTCCAATTCAAATTATTGAATTGTTCATCTGGGCTAGTGTTTTTTCCCTTTTACATATCTTTCTTGGTTGGATTACTTATTTTATATTTTTTTTCTTTCATTTGATTCTCAGTAGATTATAGTTTCTTTGATTATGCATGATGGATTAGACAGATACAAAAAACTATATATATATATATATATATATTTAATATTTATATTGCTGCAGGAAAAAGGCATCCTCTTATTATAAAGATTTCTGTTTGCTAATCAATGGCAATCTTTTTTATTCTCCTGCTTTATGCCTTGGTTAATCTCACTTTTGCACAGATGATGAACTACTATAGGGACTGTCCTAAATTTCATGTCATGTTTTTGTGTTTGATTTTGTAGGTTGGCAGATAAGGAGCACCTACATATATGTCTGTTTGTGTCTGTATGTCTTTCATACATTTTGTAGTAAAATAAAAAGCAACCTCAAAAGATTATTTTATGCTATCAACAAGATAGCAGTGGCTATTCTGCAGAAAGAACACAAGATAAATGTATAAATATATATAGATAATACATTCATTTTCAAGAGCGGCATTATTTTTTTCTGTTTTCCCTGTAAAACAATTGTAGTTTCTCTTTAAAGTTATTGTTATTATTATTATTATAGTTGCATAGTTAAGTGCAACTTTACTTAAAAGCATGCTGCAGTTAGACACACAGGTTTTGTAATAGAATAACCCAAAAAATAAGAGGAAAAAGCACACATCTTCCAAAAACTGTTTTAAGTTTTAAGTCAAATCATTTGATCTTTCATAGTTTATGTAGATTTTAGAATTTATGTCAAAACTTTTTAAAAAATAATTATAAGTTTTTTTTTATATAATTGGGAGACAGGGGAGTTGATCCCTATTCTTTAAACAGTAAAATAATACATCAATAAATGAGTTAAATGTTCGAGTGCAATTATAAGTTTTATCGAGACATTCTCCTTTATTTTTTTCTCATGGGCATTTCCCTCAATGTAGCAACCTACTGCATCAATCTGCTTGAGCATACATTTAATAGTCCCCACATGTCTGACCAAACCAAAGTAGCCCTCTTCCATTGCAATATGGCTCTTGTGTCTCTTCCATTTCTGAGGAAAACCAATTCTTTGTAGCCCCCCTTTGAATTCACACATGTGAAGGTTGAAACCCTCAAAGTGAAGAGGTCAATTAATTTAATTTCTTTTTTGGATCACAAATTTGCTGGTAGAATTGAGTATACTTCTGACCAATCGAGTTAAGCATTTTGATGTATAAATTAAAAGATAAATTAACTGATATCAAGATCTATATGATGCGTTTCTCTTGATCTAATTTAATTACTTAGGTTCCTGTTTAACATACGATGACTACGTCACATATATCTTCCAACGAATAGACAAAATTTTAGTTGTGGTCTACTTATTAAATTATTGTCTAAACCCAATGAACAAACAAAGTCTTTTCTTATTAAATTAAGTGTTATAATTAACCTACAAAATTCAACAATTGTTATATGCATGACAAAATATATTCATATTAGAATACTTATTCCTTCCCGGCTTCTAGCCACCTTATGTTCCAGGTCTTTTTATAACAATTAATTGTAAGCAGATCAGCTTATTTTATGTCTGGAATCTTGGACTTCATATAATATAAGGAAATTCATATGATGATTCCCATTTTCCCACCTTGATGAATAATTTTGAATTTCTACTTAAACATGAGTGTTATTACTCTATAATTGGCTCAGTCCAACATATACTGTAGCTAGCTAGGTAATTAAACTAAGGTATAATGGGACATGAAATTCTTAAATTTCAGCAATAAATTAAATGAACCATGTTCCCATACCTTAGAATAAGGGCGGAAACGAAAATAAACAGCATTTAATTGTTCAGTCGAAGGCAATTAATTAGAAGGATATAGCTGGCTGAATGTACTAGCTAGGAGAAGACAATAACAGTATGATTAGATTGTTTAAGTTGAAAAAAATAATTAATATACCTTGTAACATATTATAGGAAAAGAAATATAAAGGAAAGAAAAAAAACAGAGGGGGGAGGAGAAAACCATTCGAATAAGTTTCACTTAACCCCATCCACTACTTTTTTTTATCCTTTCATCATATTCAAGAGATGCAACTTGAGAGGAAAGGGTTTCATCTTTTTCTTCTTCCCACTAATTGTCCTTAAGGAAAAAAGGTAATAGAAGGAAGAAAATCATTTTGATTTGATTTTGCACATGACTTTGCATTATCACGTGTTTTCATCAGCACTATGCAATTTTCCTACCTACCTAATTTTCCTGTTGATATGAATCAAATTATTAATCTGCTTCATTAAACGCCCTTCTCTTCTAAATTACTTTGATTAGTGGACTAATTTTGACATCTACGATATCCTGATTAAAGAATGCTGGAAAGATGCGAAACTTGCTTCATCAAATTGATGAATTGCTTTGTGTGCATGCCTATATCTAAGGCATAAGTTATAAATTAATTGGTTCTATATAGAGCAGCAGAAATAGAGCAACGGCAGTAGATAAAGATATTTTTGTCATAAAAGGGCAATCATCATACTTTTTTCCAATCATCAATTAACAAATGAAGTGGTCCGAGTAAGATTAGAAATAGTTTTAAAATTCAACTGCAAAGATGACATTGATGTGAATTGAATATGTAATCAAATTGTTTTTTAAGTGAAAGATTGCAAGGATTTCCTGTGGAATCGTAGAAGAATGATACACTTTTTACTGGACATGAGTTGAAACGCATTTGCCTTTTCATCAGTGACAGTAGTTTATTTTATTTATTTTTCTTTAAAATTGGATTTCTTTTTTCATGTTTAATACTCATATTTTGCTGTTTTAGACTTGTAGATTTCTATGAAAATAACCCATACGCAACTTTTAACTACAGGTTCCTTTCCCAAATCAGGTGTTAATGGTACTAGAGTTTTGACCAATTAGACGAGAAACTTAACATGACATTTCGATTTTAAGACTAATAACATCACCTTAAAAATAGAGTAAAAGCTAAAATTTTGGAGAAAACAATTAAGTCTTAAGCCCTAATGGGAGAAAATATGAGACTTAATTAAAAATATGAAAGGGATAGAGTATCATATCTTTAAAAACAACATTAAACATATGATACTCTATCCCCTTCATCTTCGTCTGTTTTTCTTTTTTTTGGGGGAATTCACATTAATCTCAACTATATATATATATATATATATATGAAACATTTAAAAAAAATGTCATAACCTCAAATACATAAATAAAAAAATTCATAATATAAACAAGACCAATATTTATATCGGAGTCAAAGACATATTAATCGTGTTCAGTACATATTTATCTGAGTCCAGTCAATACCAAGTATAAGAAAGCAAAACAAAAAAGGTTTTCAAACAATTAAAAATGCTAATTGGAAACTTTTATATTCCGCCTAATACACTATAATTCAACTTTAATCAAGCTGTTTAGAATAATGTTCTATCAATACACTCAAAGGATCATAGAGGTGTATAGGAGGCTAAGAACATAGAGGACCCTCTTCACATGAATTCACGTGTCATGGGTAATAAGCCCTAATAAAATATTACTCGAAATTTAACAACTTGGATACAACATTCCAACGCTAAAGTCACAACATCAATGGACCCCATTCTTGTTCAATAATTACCACGGTTTTTGCCCCAATTAAATTAATCACAATCAAAAGAACCAATTAAAAACAAAATATATTCCCCTTTTTTGTTCCATTTGCCTTTCCAAATGTTGGCACCCTGCCACTTGCTGTTGCACACACATTACTTAGCTTTCTTTTTAGATTGTGAGAGAGAGAGCCATTTTCAGCTTACAATAATTTGAAAAGGAATCCACTAATTAAGTCTTTGCATTAATGAAATGTAGACCACACATATAAAGATGGTTAATTGTTATTCTAATCTAGTGATTAAATTTAATAAGATTTAGTCGTGGGGCAGCAGCCAACATCATCCAACACAAATCCAAAAACATGTCGAAACCCCTTCTTTTGTTTATTGTTCTTTCAAGTCCTTTGATGCTGAAATTCAATGGCGCCGTGCCCTTTGTTGTGGAGTACACGTCATCTTTTTCGATCCAATGAATCAAAGAGTTTGACCTAATTTAATCTCAAAGAACCAATTGGATTTGGATTTTGTTTTGGTTTTTTTTTTTTTGGAAAGGGGTTACAAATTAAAGGAAGAAATTAACTTAGGCATGGATTCGTTGAATTAGCAATAGCCTTTGCTAAGCATAAAGTGTGTCAACAAATTAATTAACAAAACAAATCCCTAGCATGTGGCTTCAAGTTTATCTATTACTTTTTACTTTTTACTTTTTTTGATTCATGGCATCATATTTGTTGTAGAGATTGCTTAGTCTGAGTGGCTTCTTCGTTTCTTTAATTAACTTAATTTTCACGTTTTAATTGAAATTAGCGATAATTTTGAACTTCTTAAGATGAACTTACAAGGGATTTATCTTAAGATGAACAAATTTCCATTAAATTTTGGAGGCTAGGAAAATGGAAAAACTCTCCTTCTCAAAGTCTCTAATCTTCATTAAATAGTGGAAAGGGATTGAAAGTACTGCTAGATTCACCCCTTCCCTTTCTTATCAATGATTGACAAGGCTTGTAATTGTGATTGAATATTAGTCATGTTATGAGTGATAATTTTTGCATACGTACTTCAAAGCCCCAAAAAATACAAATACAATATGCTGTAGGATTTGGAATTTTCTATTCACCCTTTGAGGCCAATCATTCAATTTCATAATGGCTAGAGGCAAACATAAATGAATCCCACGAGCCAAAATAGAATTCAATAAACAAAT